ATGATGGAACATGATTATTATTTAAAAGGAACTGACATACCTTCTTTCAAAATTAAGAATCAATTAGGACAATATTGTATCAATTGCAGGAGAACATATCCAAATAAAGCTATATCATCTCCAGTGTTTTGATTTTCTGGTGTTCTATATTGGTGACTCTGAACAGGACAAAAACTCAGAAAGCAGGCTACCAGTCTTTTTAAACACACTACCTTTCTACCAGCAGGGAGATTCTGATGTGCAGAATGTAGAAATATATAATTATTAACAAATAACTCATCTATTCCAATGCCAGGAATGTTTCAGTGTGTCTAGAGGCACCTTTAACATTAGCAGAGAAGTGATGTGGTATAGATGAAAAACAAGAGGACAAAAATGGAGCACTCTTAACTCAAAGGTCAATTGGATGTGTGTACCTGAAAACAAAGCAAAAAATAAAAACTCTGGCACATCGTGCAGCACTAACAAGAAGGCAGGTAGTGGAACACAATGAAGGGCAGTGTGAGGATAACAAAGAAGATGAAAACAAGGTTGATGGCAATAGAATATTTACCATTTAAGCATACATTATTTTTAAACATGATTCACTTGAGAAATCAATTCCAGTGGTTTCAAAATATCTAATGTAATACCTCAATGGAAACCAAAGAGAGAGAAAAGCATGAGTATACATTGCTGGCTGCTACTAAGTTATGACTGCATTTTTCTCTCTATGATATATACAATATGACAGGAGCTCTGTATAATATACACTGAGTTGAAGTTTGCATTAAGGCAAACATGATTCGTTCCTCTTCCCATACATTTCATATTTGATGAACCCTCAGTTTACTAGACCTAAATGTATAACCAAATAAGAATACTTTAGAGCAAAACCTATGTCTATTGAACTTTGAAAGTATACATCCCTGCTGAATCATGAGATGTGGCTCAAGGAAATATTGACACAAGCAGCCTTAAGAGTTGTAAGCACACATGAGGCTAAGAAAAATTTGTTAAAAAAACATTTGGAGGTAATGGGGTGGATTCTTGGAGCTGTACACTGATTGGGCACTGTTTAGACAACAACACTAGAAAACTGTTGTTACTGAGTTAAACCATCTTACATAAAGAGGAATAATTACTGGTGTGTTTTCACTATTAATTCAAGACTAATATGCTTAGAAGTGTATAAACACACATGGACATATGATTTATTTATTTAGTCTTATTTATATTTAATATTTTATTATAATTTTGAAATTATGCTATGAAATGAAAGAAGATAAATAGGCAAGGGACAGATAAAGAGGGAGACAGAAGACTGAATAAAAGAATGTCAAAACAGGAGTATCTTGTTCAGTTACACAACTGATAACAGCCAGAGCTGAATCCACTGTAGGTTCTTGACTTTAAGCTAGTGTTTTCTTGTAAAAAAAATCATCTCCACTTTCAGTGATATTTCAGAGAATATACACTGTCAAGGAACATTAAAAACTCCAATCAAATTAGGAATTTTTATGAAAATAAAATACAGGAAGACCCACAAATTGCCTTGAGCTTCTTGAAAATCAGACAGAATAAAAATGAAATGGCAATAAGTCTTTGGTGATGTAAAGCTCAAATGTGACAAGAACTGGTAAAATAACCGACTATTTTGATAAATCATTTCAATATAATGTCATGTCCACCTCAGATTTTACTCAGATCACATGGGACCTCAGAAAAGCTTCACTTTTTTGCTTCACATTTGAAAACTTCCAATATAATTTTCTTGAAAAAAATACTGTATAAGATAGATAGGCCAACAAGCTCATTGTAACTCATTTATACAGCTAAACAAAGGTGAGGTAAAAAGATGCCTGAAAAACAAGATCTATAGGAAAGATGAAGATAGGTCCTCAATGTGTATTAACTCTACACCATTAACTCAAGAATCACAACAGATTTTACAAAGACTTTTCTCAACATGAGTACAGTGGTGCCCCGCACCACGACGATAATCCATTCCCCTGAAATCGCTGTTAAGTGGAAACATCGTCTAGCGAAAAACAATTCCCCACTGGAATGCACTGAAACCCATTTAATGCGTTCCAATGGGGAAATTACCTCATCGTCCAGCGAAGATCGCCCAGAGGGGAAGCCATTTTCCAAGTGCCAATCAGCTGTTAAAATGGCTGCCCTGCGAAGCATGGGTCCGGAAGACACAGGGCAGCCATTTTGCGGAGCCGGAAAAATTGTCATTTTGCGAACAAACGGTTCGCGAATCAAGGACCTAATCGTCATCAAACGAAGATCCGCCATAGGAAACATTGTCATGTGATTTCACTGTTCTGCGAGGTCGTCATCATGTGGGGCACCACTGTACGTACATTTTGTATATGAGGACATTTGTACAGAAATCTTCAAACCACCAATTTATAAGTTCAAAGATTTCAGATTTAATGTAAACATAATGCTGATAATTTTTACTTTACCACTGGGAAGTTACTGCTTTTCTGAAATGTAACTTAGGGCTCTGACATGGTCACAAATTAAATACAAAATGAAATTTTGGAAATATTCTGTCATGATTCCACTAAATGTCATATGTTAGGTGCTCTAAAGTTGTGAAAACAATTGCAAGAAACATATATAGATGTTTAGAATAACAGGTAGAACGAGTATTTTTTAGGAATACAACACTAAACATGCTATGCAAAATTACTACTTGAAAATGAAATATCTTTACATTTGAAAACAGGTTACTTGCAAGTCAATCCACATTTTATTTACTTATTTTAGCTACAGTATTTAAAAAATTTAATTACATACAAACATTTTCTTGTTTATGTTACAAATAAAAATACAAATTTAGACTCATCACATTATTGCAGTCTGAGTAGACATTTGGTATTAGTTTTCACCAATGGTATGTAGGAAAATCAAGAATACTTCAGGGGTAGAGATTTAAGTTGCCAGCAAGTAAGAATTAACAGATTCAATCAACTGTGAGAAGAGTTTGGTGTCCAAACTCCAGACTATAGACTTTGGCTCCCACAAGAATATTCTTATCTGTAAAACCAGAAGTTCACAAGTTAAGAGCTGGAGCCAGCTTCCATTATGATTAGATAGAGCCACTGAAAATAATAAGACTTACACTACACAGCTATCCCGTTATTTCAACTGTTCTATTTGGAATATGACTATATCTGAATTAAGCCCTAAACCCACTCCAGAAGTGTAACACTTTGTATTAGTGTAGTCAGCTAGCGTAGTGCTCTCCAATCTGTTTTAACCACATCATACAATCCCCCAATTACTGCCCGTGCCAACTGCAGCTTGTGGAAGGGGTGGTCCAAAACATCTGGAACACACCATGTTGCCCACTCCTTTCTTCACACCCTTTTATTTTCCAACTAATTCGTAAGTACCACTTTGTCACATTCTTTGTTGACATACTACCTAGAAGGTAGCATGCCTCAATTTCATTTATTCAAATGCTACTAATAAGCAAAACATTTACGAATCACCCCCTATCATTTTGTTGGGAACATTTTATTGGTGTTGCTAACAAAACTAAAGCTATATGATTCACTCAAATATTTATTTACCTCCACTGTTAAGTTTGATACAAAAACCCCACAGCAGCTATGATTAGGATAATGATTTAATACTAAATTCTGCCTAAATAGGCCAGTGGTTAATATGGTAAATCAAGAACTATACTGCCGCTGAACATTAACGCCAGACTCTGGACAAAATGTTATTTCAGCAGAGGAACCCCTCCATGTCATTAATGTGGGCAGTTCATATAGAATGTTTATAGCCAGGGTTCCATTTTGCGAGCAGAAGCCCCAAACGTTAAGCTCAAATCCTCGAGCGGGCATCTGTCTCCTTCGCAAGGAGGTGAGGCTTCCCTCCACGCTGACCCTGTTCATTTGCAAGAACGTCACCAGCGAAACCGGGAGGGTGACGAAGTTACCTAAAACCGCACCCTCTACCAGCAGCACAAGCCAGCCCTTCCACTCGGCATACTGGCTGACTTCTTCCTCCACCACGACACCCATTTCAAATTAGCCGTCTTACTCCACCCTCCTTCTAGATTGTGCAAGAAGGAAATTCTCGATGCATCACCCAGAGTCACCACCGACTTCCGCTCCTTGTCAAGCAACCCAGGCAAAAGGACGCCGATTCCGCATTTAACAAAGGGGGGCCCGGAGAGCCCGGGAACCCTGAGCGGCGGAGGCGGCGAGCGGGAGCTGCTGTGGAGGAAGGGGGGGCGTGAATGTGGCTGCTTGCGTGTGTCAGTCATGTCACGGCTCCAAGTTGGGGACAGGGCGAGAGAGAGAGAGAGAAATCCCGGGGAAGCGCCTGAACTAGGCAAGCCCGCCGCCATCTTACAATGCGGGAAAGAAGCGCCCGGCCAGAACACAGAAACCCGAGACGGCTTCTCGACGTAGAGGCGCATCGAAGCCGCCCCAAACACCCCTCTGTGAGGGCGCACACATAACACAGGGCCCCTCATGGGCCACCTCCTGTTCTTCGCCGATCACCCACCCCAACCCGAAGTGAAACCGGACTCCCAACATCGCAGCACCCGCAAAGGTTTCTAATCCGGTTCGGAGCCTGTCGGCCAAAACTACAGTTTCTGTGATTTTTCAGGAGCGGCCCTGACAGGAAGATTGCGAATCCGGACCGTCCCGAGCCGGTATTTCTCCCCCCCTCCCCCACTTTCCGGGCTCCACCACCCCAGAAGGCCTAATCCGGGGATTAAGGCACAACCGGGGACGGTTCCCAACCACCAGGCCCGACCGGGGTAGGCGAGGAGTCGGGGCGACCAGGGCTCCCCGTTGCCCACCCTAAGCCTCGTCCAGGTGTCGGGGCCGCCCGGCCCACCCCGCCGACTACGGACCCTCCGACCAAATCTCTCTCCCCCCCCCCGCTCCCGGCAAAGGCGGAAGCCGTCGGAGAAGGGGGTCAGGTCCTGCCACCGCCTCCCCGCGGCTCTTTCTGCCCGACGGCGGCCGAAACAAGCTCACCTTGTTGATGCGTTTCAGTGCCATCTTTTATACTGCGAGAGGCGAGAGTCGCTGCGTCAGTGGTGGTGGCCGCCGCGGCCCGGGGGTTGCTATCGCTGCTCCTCCTCCTCCTCCTCCTTCGCCGCCGCCTCGTCCGGCCTGTCTGCGCCGCCGCTGCCGCACTCCCTCCCTGCGGGTGGGGGATGGAGCCGCTCGCTTACTCGCTGCCTGCGTTTCTCCTTCCTCCGGAAACAGCCGGGGGCGCCCGCCCGCCCGCCTCGCACACCAGCCGCGACGTCACCGGCGGCGCCTCCTCCTCCTCGCGCCCCCCCCCGCTCCGGTTCGCTTTAGTCGCCTTCCTCTGTCGGGACTTCCCGGAGGAACCGAACAGCGCGAGGCTTCGAGCACCTACGTCAAGAGCGAAGCGAGAGGGAGGGAGGGCGCAGTTATGCTGAAGCACAGCCGCCGCCGATGGCGAGGCCGAAGAAAAGGGGCGGGCCTAAATAGGCCCCTCCTCTCCTATCCCACCCCACCCCAGCCGGGGACCGCCACCGCCCTCCCTCCTGGGGGCGAAGGCGGGCTCAGGGCGAAAGAGAGCGCATGACGTACCGCCCCCCCAGGAGCTTCCGATTGGCTGAGGCCAGCGACGCTCAACTTTCGCCGTAGGGAGGGGTGACCGAGAGAGCTCGTTTGGGAGAGGAATAAGGAAAGAGGTGTCAGAAGTAAAGGGAGCGGGGTTCGTGATTTGGGGACACGCTCGTTTCCTGTATATTTTTTTCCGCCCTTCCCTCCCTACCCCCTGCAGACAAGAGAACGAGGGAGCGCGAATAGTCTCGGTTCAAGCTCTCGCGAGAGGTGGCGGGCACGCGCGTTTACCCTCCGCAAAAAAAAAATTAAATCCCGCCCTCGTACTCAGCAGCACTGATAACGAGAGAACGCAGATTATGCGCGTGCCCGCGTTTGCGCGCTCTCCCAAACCACCACCACCCTGGGAGGAGAGGAGACGTAGTCATTCACCCTTTCTGGCTCCCTTCTTCCAAAAGCTGCGGGGACCCTTCCAACCTGGCCTCAGACGCCGCTCGAGTCCTGGGCACGGCGCGTGCGCGTTCCGAAGCCGTCACCCGCCGTGTCTCCGTTCGGCCTTCCTTTCCTCCTCCCCACCCCCGCTCTCTTTCGAGCTCGCGCTTTCTCTAACTGGCGGTCCCTCGCGGCCGGATCTATTTATCAGGAAAGATCTGGCCCTGTATCCCTCCGCATAGTTGGGCAGGGGGGCCGTCTTACTCCCCTCCCCCAGCGCCAAAAATGTTGAGGGAGAGGTGGCAGTTGGCTCGCCCAAAGCTGTTTCTCTGGGCAATTTCACAACGGGACCCTGGACTAAGGAAGATGGCGTAGAACTCAATGAGACCTAACTTCGTTGTTACTGTGTTCAGGGTTGTGAGCCTGAGCTCCTTCACACAGGCTTTTCTTCGCCAGGGTTAAAGGAGCTTCATGAGAAAATGAAGTTATTTTCATCGACTTGCCTTAACAATACAGGAACTTGCAAGAGAGTGGCTTTTAGCTTCCTGAGACTTCTTCAAAGATAGAGAGCCATAGATGCTTTTTAGAAAACTTCTTATCATAAGGGAAGAGTCATGTTAAAGAGCAACACATTTAATTTGGCATAACCTTTTGTGGATTGTAGTCCACTCTATCAGATGGATTGACTGCCATTCATGAAGGCTTCTATAACAAACTTGTTAGCCTTTAAAGTGCCATAAGGATTTTGTTGCTTTCCTGCACCACATTCACATATTTCCCCCCTAAGGGTGTGAACTTTTGTCTGATTGGCAAACTTCCAATAGGGGGAATAAATTAATAAAATATTTTGATTGAAGGGCAGGATTAATTGACCAAAGGGAGGGGTGGACTTGCTAATTTCATGATCTACTTGGGAGATGGCCCTAGGAATCTAGACAGGACCCATTCTAGTTAAAGTGATTATACAGTATTCTATAGTTAAATTCTAGGATTCTGTAGACAAGCAATTATAAAGTTTACATCAAACTGCTATGATGTAGATGCACTACTGGCTGAATCTGAAATGTGCTTTGATTACAAGCAGTCACTTTAGCTCTGTGGCAAGATCAGTCAGTTTATCAACTGGTGACCTCAACCATTTTATCAATGGGAGAGATGGGGACAGCAAGAGAAGAGTGGAAAGCAAAGCCATATCTGCTTTGGGGTGTGACTGTGTCTACTACCATCTCTGTCTTCATTGGTGTGCTTCACCCCTAAACACAGACTATGCTGAAAAATCCAGCCTCAACAGATAATAATTTTGCCATGTCAGGCTACCATGTATGGGTGTCTATAAACAGGCATCACCCCAGTATTTTATAGGCATTGTGATTTTAGCAGATAGTGTCAGATCAGCACTAAGGAGGGCTAGGTTAACATTCTTGCCAGACAGTGGAAACTCACTGGAGGGTGGTAATGGTAAACCACTTATGGAACTATTAACCTATCTCAAAAACCCTGCACATAGCAATGGCAGACAGCAATAATCTAATTACAGTATAATGAACATAGAGGACCCTAGATAACACTATGATTCACATTGGTGTACTGATTATGCCTGTTTATTTCTAAAGCCATTCAGTTTAGTTATTATAATCGGGACGATTTAAACCTATGACTTAAGTAAAGCATTTAAATAGATTATTCCATAGTAAAGTTAGTAAGACAGCAGGTTGTGTTGTGAATATTCAGGGTTAAGTGGTGTATGCTATGCAGTTAATGTGTCCTTTAAAGATTGTCATGAGGCTGTGTAAACAATTCTGTCTCATTTCTAGGATATGTGTACAAATTTTAGTGCTAAGTAAAGACCATGTTTAACTGTATGGCTTAGTCTGTAGAAATATATTTTGTTAAATGGGTCATTTGTGAAAATGACACATAGCATCACCATCAGGACATTTTGCAGCATAGGCTACAAACATGAAGAATATTTTCAGCCCTTACCAAAAAAAAACCAAACCCTGCACACTGATTAACTCTAAACTCCTTTCCTGTGGAAAAGTTTATTGTTTTCTGCATCCTGCCTTTCCTCTATTGCGCTGAAGGTGGCTTATGTGGCTCTTCTCCCCCTTTATCCTCACTACAGCCCTGTGAAGAGGGTCATAATGAGAGTGACTGGCCAATGTTCCTTCAGCTCAGTGGGTATGAAGCTGGATGTCCTACATTCCAACTGAACTTATTAAGCACAATATTACACTGGCTATAAACCTCCCGGAGTGACAGTCAGCTGGGCAGTATAGAAATCAAAATAAATAAATTCAGTTGGACAGCTTTGCTTTTGTAAAGATGGGCCAACTAGTCTTTTCCCCTCCTCTTCACCAGTGGTGCAATTGAGTTCCAGGATATATTTTAGAGCATGAATAAGGACATTATTTGCCAAAAATCTGGGATCTGGTGTACCCTGCTTGTTCAAACAAGATGAGATGATAAGGTATCCAAATAATATTTTAGTATTGTTCTGTGGCAAACCAGCATAGAAAAGAGGAAGTCAAAGAATGAGAAAAAGAATAAAGCAGAGAACAGATACTTTTTATATACTGTATTTTTCCATATATAAGACTATACTTTTGTCTAAAATCTTTAGACTAAAAATTGAGGGTTGTCTTATACATGGAAGTAAGCTGAGGAGAGAACAAAAACAAGTGGAGGGGGAGCAGGTATCAAAGCGATCTTGCGGCACTTTGATCCCTTTCCCCCTGCACTTGCTAAGCCCCAGTTAGATTTCTTAATTTTGGATTAGAAAAGTGGGGGCATCTTATACATGGAAAAATATGGTATAATGGGTTTCCTACCTTATTCTGATATACAGTGGTGCCTTGCTTAGCGAGCGCTCCATTTTACGACGAAATCACTTAGCGACGCTGTTTTTGCGATCACAAAAGCAATCGCTTTGCGATGGTCCCTATGGGGTATTTTCGCTTTGCGATGATTGCAGGGAAGCCATCATCACAAAGCCCCCATTTTCGCACAGCTGATCGGCAGTTTCAAAATGGCTGCCAGGGAAAAAACATGGCTGCCCGCTGTGTTTAGGGACGGATTCCTCGCCAACGAAAATGGTGGTGCTATGGAGGATCTTTGCTCAACAGTGAGTTTTAAGCCCATAAGAACGCATTGAAGGGGTTTCAATGCGTTTCTATGGGCTTTTTAATATCGCATACCGACGTTTTCATTCTGCAGCGATTTTTGCGGAACGAATTAACGTTGCTAAGTGAGGCACCACTATAGTTTAGTAAGATTGATTGGTAAGATTGTTTGCTTTTCCAGTTAACGGCTAACAACTGGGATTTGGTTGGCTGGAAAGCTTTTGTTAAATCTCTATTTTTTTTATTATTTATATCCCGCCTATCTGATCGGTTGAGACCACTCTAGGCGGCGAACAGAATAAAATGAAACAGTGCACATATATGAAACAATTTTACATAGAAATAAACATAATGAAATAGACTAATAGAAGGAAGAAAGAGGGCATCAGGGATTGACTGGAAGGAAGGCCTGCCGAAACATCCATGTTTTAAGTTGATTTTTAAAGGTACCCAGCGAGGGAGCCATACGAATCTCAGGAGGTAGGTTGTTCCAGAGGTTTTATAAAATGGAACTATAATATAAGCACAAGTACATTTGTGAAGCTTACACTATGCTCAGATTTGCAACTGTACAGTATTTCCTAAACAAAATTGAGTGATTTTATTAGTGTCGTTTCTGTTTTAGATGTCATATCTTTTATGACAGAGCTTTTAATTAGTTTCAAAATATTTGAATGTAAATGGAAGATTGATGTGGAATAGTTACAAATAACAAGGTACTTTCAATTTGTTCCTTTTCTAATAATGATGCTAATGATTACAATATGATTGTAATTTAATGAAGAACAACCTCAGTTGTTTTTAGGGTAGCTGGAACTTTTCAATTACTTTTATTAGTTATGAAGGGTGACTTCACAAATGGGCAGAATCAATATCACATGGTTCAAATACTGGTTTATGCTGTGCTTATGCTGCTGCCTTAAGCTCTGTCATTGGAGCACAGAAGCAGCAGTGAGGTGAACAGTCCATTAGCTACCACAGGGAATGGTTGGAATGCAGTCCTTCACCTTTGCCAAGAAAGATGTTGACATGCATGGCAGATGAGTGCTTCTTTTGTAGCACTGAATTAACATACAAAGTAGTAAGCAACAGTTCAGGGTATCAGGTTATGAGTGGCTTCTAAATAATACTTTTAAAATTATTACTGTGAGGGTGGAGATCACCACCAGTATCCTGAGCAGGCCATCTGTCCTCAGCTTGCAGCCCTGGGAGAGCCCAGGAAAGACTTTGGCTCCTGGGTGTCTGGTGGGCAAGGAAGAGGAATGATAGCTGTTGATGAATGAGCCAATGGATGAAGGACACCTGGAGAGGGAGAAAGGGGGGCGCAGAGCAAAGGAAGAGGAAAGGAAGGATACAGAGGCTTCCTCCAAAGAAATGGAGGGAAAACAGAGACCTCAGGGGAAGAAGAGACCTTGGGGGGAGGCTATCAAGGCCTGGGACCCTCAATTTTGCACCTCAGGGAAAGGAACCCCAAGGGGAAACCCCTGGACCTGGCCATTAGGCTAAGGAAGGGGCTGCAGATGATGAGGCCCTGTACAAGGATTACTAGATCCCACAGCACTGCCATCTTCACTTTGGCTACTGCACCATCCAATGGGAGCAGTAGCACTCTAACTTAGCTACAATGTGGGAATGGAAGTGCCAGCAAGAGAGGCAGAGGAGACTCCAGGAGAAGTAGATGAGCATACCCCAGTATCTCGCCCCCTGCCCAGCTCTACCAGATATCACTTAACGGGTCTGACCAGGGCCAGGACATTTTCAAATCCTGTTAGCCACCCAAAGTAGTGCTGCAGCACTAGATAGGTGGGGTTTAAATGTAATAAATAAATAAAATTATCATCTCCTACTACTTTCCAAACTGGGACACCTGGGGTCTTCTGTGCTATTAACAGGGGCCCTTCTGAAAATCACCTGGAGGATTAGTGCAAGAATCTCAGTCCCCCAGAAAGCTCAAGGAGAAAGTCAAAATCACCATTTCTGTTCTTATTGCTACTCCTTAGAAATAAAAGCTGTTACTTGTTCTACCTGC